AGAATTGACTCGGGAGCTACCTCTTTCATTGGAGGGGATATCGTATGACTAGGCACAACATATACTGTTCGTGTAGATAAAAGATATAAAGCTGTATTGGTCTGAACTGACGACTTCGACTATAACCTATTAGGAAGAGCGCACAGAACAAACACAAATTTGGTAAATAAAAAGAGTGGACAACCACGTAAGTGTGGCCAAATCAGCGAAAGATTCCCCGAACAAAACAGATATTACACGACCGATAGTGGCATAATATGCCACTGATATCCTCTGTAAACGAGCTAAAAGCAGCACAAAGTGGAACAATTCAAGCTCTTCTGCAGCCCTAGAAGAGGAGAGAGGATGGGTCATGGATGGACATGGGCAGTGCACCCTAGGTAGAGTCAGAGCTAGCGGTTGGGGCACCCGAGATAGCATTGCACTAGTTGCGTGAGTTCTGTCAGTATGTAATAAGGTCCCTAGGAATATGCAATTGCTTACTTCTCCACCTTTTCCGGGGCAGCATGCATAGGTGGCGCCAGTACAAAAGTTCTGAGGCGTGGTAGCTGTTCACTCAAAATGTAAGTAAATGACATAGGTTGTTCTGGGCACATTGTACACATACGCTGGCCAGTAAGAGCATCTGTGATGATCACAATAAGACCATCCGCCGCCGAACTTGCTGGGGCACAGGCAGAGTTTGCATAGCCTGGGAGAACGCCGGCAAGTGCATCAAGGACTTCGGTGGTTAGGCCACTTGTCACTCCCTTGTTTCCATTGTTCTGAATATTGACCTGGTTGCAGCAAGAAACAGTCAGATTGCCGCACTTTTGCTGCAACTGGTTGAAATCAACACCTTTCTCAGGAGTGGCATGCCACAACTGTTTGCTCGGAACAGATGCGGAGCGGCGGTTATTCGAGACTTGAACCGCTGCTGGCGTAGCAGCCACCGCCATAGCAAGTGTAAGGAGTCCAGCGACAGTGAAATACATCTTGTTGAAGATTGTACTTGTTTGGGTGTGAAATTCAGGAAGAAAGAGTATTTAGGGCTGGTTGCTGCGTTTTATCAAAGACAATGACAGTTGATAGACAGATGGTTGCGATGAGAACGAAGATGTCAAAACTGGACACTAGCGTAGGTTTTTATACCTCAGCTTAGGCAGGCTGAGTATTCTCCTATTTATACAGAACCGAAAGATCTTCAGGACAAAGCCTTGGTCAGACAATCTTTAGGATGGCCCTAGCGCATCTACATAGCCCTTCTAAATACTTTCTAGGTTGAAGTATCCTACAGGGTGACCCTTCGATCTTTAACATTGTCTGGTATTTTGCCCTAGAGTGATAGATGTTACCCTGATAGATGTTACCCTGCTAGGAGTCAGATGTCTAGAGTCTTAGCGTACACGTAGTCCTCTCGAAATTGTCAACGCCCCTAATCTATTCTATTTGCAAAGAACAGTATCATCTAATATTATTCTTGCCGAGCGATGGGAGTCATGTTCCCAGGATCCTCCTCTCCCTTCTAATTCAGGGTTCCCTTAGATAAGACCAGTCTACCGTATATATGATCATTTTTACTTTATAGATAAAGGAGCCGTGACTACTTTTCTAATTAAGGGGAGGTGTGACTATAGCATAGGGGGAACTCCCTCCCCAATTGCAAAGAATGCTAAGACGAGTTCCACATAGTATAAGCTAAGGACCATGTAGCCTTCGGGATTACACTTTCCTCTGAGGTCAGTATAGGCATTGAATATATGGTGTGCTTAGTAAGCTCTTAGGTGCCTCTTTAGCGAGACGCATAATGCTCATCCAAGGGGGTGATCATCGTACGTAGTGCCAAAGAATTATAGTCGGCATATATCGTATATGATTGTCATAAGTCGGCTATTATATCCGTCTTATCTTCTAGCTCGGCAGAGATCCTGCATAGACCCACTAACCGTTCTTTGGGGAATTCCTTGCTTGTCAACCATACAATCAACCATTTTTTTTCCAGGGCCAAGAGCGTGGCCTCACATTTTAGGGCCCCTGGCAGGGGCCCCGCTTAGGGACCCCACATGGCACTTGAATTTCCCGGCTAATGAAAGCGTTTTGGGGGAAATACACGCCTGGCTCAAATCCAACGGTCAGTCCTTACGATAGGAACTTGTATATAGTTATTACGACCGTTACAACCGCGACTACTTCAAACAAAGACTATCCCTTCAACCCAGAAAAACGGCCGGCAGGATATCGACCGCACTTTCTGGGACGAAGGGATGGACTTCCGCGGCGAAACGAATGGTCCGTGAGCGCATCCAGGACCGCTGGAAGAAGCAGTGGGAGAGCGAGAGGACCGCTCAGCCCACGAAGTGATTGGTGGAGTGGCCGAGCAAGAAGACCTTACGTTTGTACGAATGCCTGTCGAAGCCACGGTCTTCGATCATGATACAAATGAGGTCAATGCGTATTGCGCTGAGACACTTCGTATACAAGATCAATGAAGTTGAGTCTGATAAGTGCCCCTGTGGAGAAGGCTCTCAGACGCCGAGACACGTCTTGCTTCAATGCCAGACATACGGCGCATTAAGAAAGACGCTTTTTGACCAGTTGCACAAAGCTGGAATGAGAGAACTGACCAATTATGATACTGTTGTATCAGACCCGCTGGTAACCCGCTACGTTGCCCAATTCATGCACCGAACCGGCCTACTTGCTCAGTTTCAACATGCTGAACGACAAGAGTCCGACGATGAAACCGGAGACCGCGAGATCATGGAGCAGAGTCCCGAAGACGCTGGGCACTCACCACCGCTTGCTACCACGTTTGAGGAAGGAGAGAGTCTCACTCAGCTATTCGAATACACGCTGCCGGACTGGGCGATCCCTAGACGGCCTGAAACAACAATGAACAGCAATCGAGGCTGAAGTGAGGATGTCGGAGAACGGGGTTTGATCTGCAGCAGTACGAACTGGCTGGGATCATGATGCGGAGGTGTTTACATGGGATGTGAGAAGAGAGAGGACTTGGAGAGGTGGACGGTGCATCCACGCGCTCATTTTGTATTCAATGCATCACTGGTATTGAATTTCTCATTTGTACTGCGGGTTTCATGGGTTTTGGCTTACATGTAATGGGCTAGTGCTTCCACTCTTTGAGAACCAGCCTCACTTTTTGTACTGGAGCATGATCAGGCGTACGGACACGAGTTCTTGCTTCAACCGGAAAGAAGCGCCTGCATAGCCATTACGATACTAGTTAGGCTCCAACAGGTTAATAGAACTTTGATTGATTGATTGATTGATTGATTGATTGATTGATTGAAGGGATGGACTTTGTTTGATGTCGTGGAGAGAATGACTGCACGTTCCGTGTCAGTGACCGCTGAGTATGGAACATACTGTTAGGAGGGAAATGCGTCCGCCTGTTGCGCATCGACAATGGCGGCCCACTCCGCTATTGTTGGATGCCGGAGGACATCGTGCGAACTGATCTCCATTTCCTATGGACGGGTGTTAGCAGCAATTTTCATCGCGAGAATTGAAGTCTCCGCCTAGATGGAAACAGCTGTCATCTACACCGACTGTCTCTACAGCTATATCAAGCAATCCATTGGGGATGGCGTATAACCTCACAGCCGTCTCGGTCTCCAAACGCTTCTTGTTTCTCTGCGCAGCAAAGTATGCGCGCAGTTCAAGGGGTGGGATTTCCTGAATGGCCTTGCTTAGCTGCAGTTTGTCCGTCTTTCCTGATACCGTTCGTGGCAGCTGGGCGACAGAGACAAAGAAGTCCGGAATCATATAACTTGGGAGACCGTCTCAAAGTTGCCGAAGAGTATCGGCAGCGGTAGAAGAAACAGCGTCGCTTGGAACACGGAGAAGATCCTGTTCTGTGCATGTGTTGTCCTCATGCATCATATATGCACGCAACCAGGCGTGGAGTGGCTACGGCCGGTGGGGTTGTTCGCGTGTCTGAGTATGGCTCTTTCAAGAGCAACACCTGCTCGATCACAATTTCGCTTACCCCAGAGAAGAACCGCCGTACGTGATGTTCAATATCCTCCAGCTCTACTCGCTGCCGCCGTATCTTAATTTGTTGATCTTTTCGGTCCTCAAATCGTAGAGAATTTCTTGGAATCACAGGAAGAGAGACATATGAAGCAATGAATGTGATGATATTCACTGTCTAGGAAAAGGGCTGATGATCGACGGGTGGAGACCGAGGAGAGAGAAAGGGAGAGAGAGAGCTAGCTAATGCTCAGTTCTACTACTGGGAACGCGTCACGTGATCCCGACTGAATTCGGAGCAGAAAGAATTACTAGATCGCGTAGCTAAACACAATCTTGATTGCTACAAGGAGGTGCTACGTCAGCATCGCTCTACGGCCAATAAGCAACACAATTTCTCTCAGATAAATTCCGGTACAGACTTAAGAGCATGTTCTAGCAGTCAGAAGTTAGTTTCCGTGAGGCCCAAGTCTTCGGCTCAAAGGATACCTTTCAAGAGTATACTATATACGAGTCCGCAGCATTGATATGTTGTCAACCTTTGTAAAGAGGCAACATTGCACACCAAAGTCGAAATTGCGGTAAGAGTGCAACGGCATTGCGCAGCTAGGGAGAGGGATCAGAGTCCTAAGCGTGCGTGGTTATGATACTGGTTGTAAAGGTTGACACCAAAAATATCTTAAAACACGGAAATATGGCGGCTATTCTATCCGGCCACTTGATGTCGCAAATAAAAGTAAAAATAAAAAAAGATAAAAAATTAAGGGATCTAAACTTAGCCTATAGAATTTAGAGCTTGGCGAAAAACTGTGGCCATAGCACAGGGCGAACATTGTTTACAATTCTAAGCCCTCTAGGAATATCGGTCTAATTTTGCTTCTATCTAGCACAAAAGCTTTTTTGGCCCAACTGGGCTATTTGGCGTATGCGACCATAGCATAGCAGATATTTAGGTATAGAGCTACAGTCAGCTCCACAGGGATAGTTGGTTGCAGTTCGAGTGTGGAAATTTCACCTTTTTCTTTTCTTTTTGTCCTTTCTACCTTATTGCTTTCTGCTTGTAAAGCTTCTAACGCACCAACTCGACCAGCCAAATCCACGAGTGCTTAACCATCAAAAAAAAGCGTACTACACAAAATGCGCCATTTCCAGTGCCCATGGGACACTTGCAAAAAGGTCAGGATGATTCTTAGTAATGAATGACCATACTGACACGCCCGTAACAGATTTTCGTTCGTAGAGCCGATCTCTCGCGACACTATCAGATACATACAAATGTGCGGCCCTTTGCCTGTCCCGAAGAAAGCTGCAACAAACGTTTCAATCAGCGTTCTTCATTAAAGGTTCATCAGAGAGTGCATACTGGCGAAAAGCCCTACGTTTGTGCGGTTGACAACTGCCACAATGTCTTTGCCGATATAAGTGGGATCATTCATACAAAATGAGCATTAAGGATTCTGTCCCCCCGTTCGATTAACTTAGGACTAAATACCAGTCCAGCCATCAAGCTCCGCTAGGCACCAGCGCACTCATACCAACGAGAAGCCTTATATTTGCTCTATCGTGTCTTACAACCAAAGGTACCTCTAGATATATTGGGATTACTATCTTACTATCTTATATTGCCCTACTTGTGAGGCGGCAAGTCTTCATCGAAAAGAGTCCATTCATCAGAGACACTAAGCTAGAGAGAAGAAGAGAAAGAGAACAGGAGAGACACGGAGACTATTCTATCTACCCTCCTCCGTCCAATCATATCGGACTCCTGGTCTCACCGCCTTCCCCATCCAGCCATCTGACAAAGACCTTCCAAGTGATCCGACTGTCATGCGTTACACTACTGATATTTTGTCATGCCAGATTTTCTCGTAAATCAGCATTGAAACGACATCTTCTTCGGCCCCACGCAGGAGGCAGCACTTTTAAACCACAATCAGAGCCTGAATTGGTTTCCCTATCGCTAGGCTCTATTGAATGTCTATCGATTCTCGTATGCTGCCACATCAGTCCGATCTACCAACTTATGACGTGCCTGCGGACTTACCGGGCGGATTCGATATAGATAAGCTATTCGAACCGACAGCCACGTCAGATACCTTTACTAGTCCTTCATTTAGCAGCAAGATCAGATATATCACCCAGAGTTAGACGCTCACCGTGTCTATCCTCTTCCCATAACCTTGCCCGCTCAACAACAATTCTCCCATCTTCTCTACGGCAATTCTTATTCCTAATGATGCGGTTTTGAGGTTACTCCCATCGGTCTATGTTTACTGCCTTGCCGGAACTCACAGCCTTTACCCGTTATACGTTTAGGGAGAAAATTGAGAACTAGAGAAAGGCATGTTCGTCATACGATTATCTTAGCACTTTTTACCAAAATTGTTCTTGATTTTGTTTCCTTTTCGTTCTTGAGTTAATTTTACCTCCTCGTTGCCTAGTGAATGAGTGTCCTTATGTACCCTTTGCTGATAGCTCTAGCCCTATAGCTGGGTGTATGAAATGCTTCCTTGTAGCAGTCCGTCGATATACCCTCTGATAACTATACGACCTTGGCATCGCAGTCTGGTATACTGCTGAAACAGGTTATTGTCAACCTACGCTTGCGGGATAACCTGTTATCCGTAGAGCTTTCGTTCGCCTCACGCTCGAACCTGTTGCGTTTAGGTCATTGAGCGAAGAGTAAGGGGCAGCGTAGGCACGGTCGTATAGGAGCCAATCTTGGAACGGCATTTGCAATGTTCTAGCCGTCGAAGCCAGATTCCTATTTTAGTGCAACCAAAATACCCCAAACTAGGGGATCTGGCTGTCTTGATTAATGCGAGGATCCTGTAGATACGTGGTTATTATATCCGGCCAATAGACTGACTCGGAAGGGTGACCGCTCGGACCACCATACATTCCACTATAGCAAGGCAGGGCCAAGCAAAGCGCACGATCTAAGGTTTCCGCAGAGGCAATATAGAGGATGCGACGAGCATAATCTTGCAAGTGATCCAATAGGGGTCGATGGTATAAAGCTGGCGGCACCCAACCCTCTAGCCTTGTAGCTAATCTCGCTTTCGAATCTCTGAATTAAAATTCAGCAATGGATAGACCTCCCCACGACTCGAGGGTCACCCGCCCCGTTGGCCCTGCGGGGCGCCAAGGCGCGAGTCCCGGTTCCAGGGGTGGAACCGCGAACCGTGACGGGTGACTCGCAGGTCTATAAACAGTGCAAACATTTTGTTGTGCATAAGACATGCATTTATGACAAGTCTTTTGAGTATTTTCGGTACAGAAATGAGATTATTTTGAGTACGTTGCGGCTCTCAGTGTTTGTTGTGACGCATGACATTCGGACCACTTGGGGAAGTTTGCTAGATGGCTGGATGTGGAAGGCGGTGAGACCAATGGCCCGACATGATTGGACGGAGGAGGTAGATAGACTAGCTTCCTGGTGTCTCTCCAGTTCTCTTTTTCTCTTCCTTTCTCTAGCTTAGTGTCTTCGATGAATGGACTCTTTTTTGATGAAGACTTGCCGACTCACACACCTCATGGCCCGAGAGCGTCGATTTTACCCCCGAAACAACCGATGCCACCTATTACTGAGACGCCTAAGACACTGGCAAGACAGCCAGTGCTAGTGCCACAGCCAATCTCACCAGCAAATCTGATCCGGCAGCACGCTGAAGACACTCAGAATTCGCTGGACAGAGCCCAGGAAGTGGCCCAGCAAATGGCTAAGAAGAAATCATTCGAAATGAAGCTCAAGGAAATCAATGAGAACCTTTCTAGGATGAGCGCTGACACGGAGAATGCTAGAAATGCTAGCGAATCTATCGAACCAGCAACCGAAAGCTCGTCCGCCGTACCAGATACTACACCCACACCGGCATCTCGTCGTCAGTCACCCAAGCATCCACCGGGACTGCCGATTCCACGCGCCCATGGTGAATACAAATACCCTTTTGAGTGGGAGGATCCGATCCGTGAAGCGACGGTGATCGAATCCGTGGAGCAGGCAAGCCGACAAGGATCGATAGAAGCTCAGGGACATATCACAACATGCCGTGAAAGCACTGAATCAGTGACTGGTCCAGGATGCTGCTAGCCAGCAAGCTCAGACAGTGTCTCCGAGTGAGCAAGCTCTGACTAGGTCTCAAAGTGAACAAAACCCACTAGCAACTGAGAAGCCTGGTCAGAGCTCCGTTGCACCAATCTCTATCAGCTCGAGCCCTGATCCAATTAACACAATTGAAACAACCCAGCCACGCCGTTCGAAGAGATGGAATGCTGGCGTACCCGGACCGGTCTACCATGACCCCGATGCCCCGAGAATGAAAGCTGAAATTAGGGCACATGAATACAAAGTGAGGAAAGCTGCTAAGCGAGCCAACTCCGTCGCCACGGAAGGCGATACCGATACTAGCAAAGCATCTATGGCCTCGGAGCGTATTATGGTGAATTGAAAACCTCTCACCGCGTCGGAAATTGAAATATCGATAACCTACAAACAAGCCGAGAAAACAACCTACTGGCACTACTGGAAGAAAGCGATGGAGGATCAAATTGAAGACCTTAATGCGAAGAATACGTACAGCTTGATCATTCGACAACGGAAGACCCAGGTGCTGCCGGGCCAACGGCGATTCAGTATCAAGAAAGACGCGGAAGACTACGTCATCGGATTCAAAGCCCGCTGGGTAGCTTGCGGCAATTTCCAGAAGAAGGACGAAGCAGCCGATTACTACGCACCCGTTGTGGTGGAATGCCTGGTCAAAACTGTCCTGTCTATCATTGCTGTCTATGGTTTGAAATGGCGTCAAATCGACGTCAAAGCTGCCTACCTAAATGCTTCGAGAGACGAAGAAACGACTGTCTACATGAGACAACCGACTGGATTAGAGCATATTGATGATGAAGGTTCTGCAAATGACTGGATCTGCGTGCTGAATCAGGCATTGTACGGCCTACGGGACTCGGCCTTCCTGTGGAACCAGGAAATGGATGAAAAGCTACAGTTACTCGGTTTCTTGCCGCTTGATGACGATGCTTGCGTCTACACCAAAGGCTCGGGACTCGGGAAGCTGGATGAGCATCTTGATAGTTGCAATACTATTTTCGGCATATAGTAGAGAGTAGGGATCATGGCGCAGTAGTATAGTATCGCAACATAAGTTGTTAGTTCACAAGTACAGTAAGATTTGCTGTTATCACCGGTGACGTGCTCTGCAACACTCTTTCTGGCACCCTATATCTACTATTTGTCACGTTGTTTTTTAATCTAGACAGTAGGAATAGGCCGTCCCAATAAGTGCGACACCGTTTTAAGTATTGCGTGTATAAGGTGCGGGGACATACTGCGGAGTAGGGACACACTGACGGGTAGGGAGACACTGATGGGTAGGGATATACTGAGGAGTAGGGACACACTGACGGGTAGGTAGACACTAACGGGTAGGGCCTTACTAGGGAGTACGGACATACTAAGGAGTAGTACACTATAGTGCCGCTACTATGACGGGTTAGCGGGCGGTGGCAATAAGCGCGCCCTAGTTTCAGTGTCGTGGGTATATTTAACAATAAGCTATCTTCCCGTAATTTAACCTGATAGATTTGTATGCCTTCTTTAAACGGAGAAAAATGGAAATAAGCGAAAATATCCTTAGTTAGCGAACAAACAGCCTCGCCCTTCAAAGACTACAGTGCTACTAGGGATGCGCAATTATCAAGTTACAGTATCTGAGATTAGAAGACAATAAAATTATAGGAACAAGAGGGTTCGCCGAAGAAAATGTAACAAAAATACTTCGAATGTTTGAGATCGAAGGCTGTGGTAATCTAGAACCTAAGCATAGAGTCGCTGCTATTATTGCGTAAGATATTTTAAGAAAGGCACTCACAAAATCAAACCTTACCCGAGAAGACCTCCTAGACCCTACAAATTAGCCAAATCTTATACTAGAAGGCGAGGATGTAATAACTTGTGTATATAGGAAACATCGTTTGAAAGCTGGCGAGAGATTTAGAGAGACTATATGGCTGGTTGATCTCTATCGAGACGGTAGGATAGCATAGCCAATGCCGATTATCTCTAAAGGCTAATTATTTTATTAGATATCTCGATTAAGGCACTCGCCTAATTGCGTGAGGAATCGATAGAAAGCATAAAATTTACTATCGGCGAAATATATCGTACCCTTAGGTCCTACCAAATTTCCTAAAACGCCGCCTAGGAGTAGAAATGTGTTAGGACCCTGCGAGGTCCTAGTGTAGCAGTATGAGTACGGGAAGTAGAGACTATCGTCGAAGTGTATGTGCAGGTGTCACAAGAGACTAATTGCTGGTCCTTCATGCGAAGGCCAGCGAGTGCAATAAATACAGTGCGCTTAGCTAAGAGACTAGGCGAAATGCACGACCATCATGGTCCATGCATGCGCCTATCTATCTGCACACTGCGCAGCCCAAAGGCTCGCAGTATACTTTCAGGCACCCTCAGGCACCTGTCAGGTCGAGGTCCTGACAATATCCCCCTCCTTCAGAGGCCACGGCCCGTGGCCTGAGGTCCCCAAGATTCGCAGTGCGAATTCCGTATTCGCAGTCACGTATAGGTACGGCAGCCCAGCAAGCATGGTCCGTTAAAACCTCACCTGGAGTAAAAACCTCATGGAGGAAAAGCTCGCAGGCAGGAAAGGTAACTAGCGCTGGTGGTGCCAGTGTAGGGTTGCAAGGTCACGTGCTCTGTTGTTTCGACTGAAAAACCATCTCAGTGAGAAGTGTTTGCACGGTTTGCACTCTCAATGGGAGTAGATGGCGGTGGTGGTGGTCGAGGAAGGAGCATGGAGAATAACATAGACATCATGGTCCTGTGTTGTTGTTGTTTTTCTTCCCTCCTGCGCTTCCCACCATCTTTCAAAGTACGTGATTTCTTCTTCCCCTGCGACCCCCTGTGTCCTGGGCATCCTTCCTGATGCCCAGGAACCTCATGGACGCGCATGAGCTTCGAAATGAAGCTTTTCCCGGCTTCCTGGGGGTGTCCATGCGTGTCCTGGGCCTTTGTTGACACTGCCTGAGGCCTCGCTGGAGCTTCCACAACAAGCTCCACGTCCTTGTTGACGTTGCTTCAGGCTTCGCTGGAGCTTCCGCAACAAGCTCCATGCTCCTGTTGACATTGCCTGAGGGCTCGCAGCAGCACAGATTCGCCCCCCCCCTGGTGCAAAACGGCCCTGTTTTGAAAACTGCTAACCTCTCATGCGTGTCAATTAGTGGCGGAACCTTACATCCTGCGCTTTACCCAGGCCGCCGCGGCGGTCCAAGCAGAAGAAGATTTCCCCCCGTGGGACGGTTTCAGCAGCTCTTCATCGGAAGAGGAGGTCGCGGTGCGCGCCGGTGGACCTGGGCTGGATGGAGGGCTTCCATGCCAGCGCTGCACCTTCCGGTTGGTGCAGCACCCAGATCATCAGTGCGTGTTGCCAATAGATCGCACCAAGTGCCTCTATTGTGCCAGCGGCCGCCACGGGTGCAAGCCGGTACGTGGAATTGCATGGGATCTTCGCAGGCAAGCATAATACTGACTGGGTCTTCGCAGGTATACCCCGAGCTTGTGCCCGAGGTGGAGCACGCGCTCTCTCCTGCTGTCACTAGCGAGCAGCGGGTGGTGCTTCTGAAAGGTCTTCTTCAAAAGACCCGGCTCATCACTGCCGCCATGAAGCCCGCTGCGACCCCCAAGGTCGCCGCTAGTGAGGAGGTTCCCTCGCCCCCGTCGTCGGTTGCGTCTTCTCCTGAGAAGTTCGTGACTCCTGAGGGAACTCCGGCTCCGGAGGAGTCTCCACTCCGCCGTCTGTTGCGTCGCAGCAGCCAAGTTTTCTCCCCGTTGCGCCTGGCTTCCGGCGCATGGGAGACCGTGCGTGACAGTTTGGGTCAGCCGTAGCGGGCGCCCAAGAGCTTAGTAGGAAGGAGGATGATTTGCGGTCAGAGACCGGACCATTTTCCTGTACATAATTCCGGGGGAATAGCCCCCATGATACCATCAAGATTTGTTTCCCGCGCGCCTCTGGCGCTTTGAAGTCCTTTCAGGTTCGCACTGTAGCTTTTCTTCGTATTCCTGTAGCGCCTGTAATTGCTCCAGGTTCTCTCGAGGCTCCCATGTTGCTTCTATATCACCGTAGCCTTCCCATTTAACCCGGTACATGCGAGGCTTGGTCCCCTTGTGGGAAAGGATGCGCTCAACCTTGTATTCGGGTTGACCATCCACAATGATGGGTGCAGGACCCTCCTGCGAAGCGTTTCCATGATGCTCCTCTAACATAGAGACATGGAATGTCGGATGAATATGGCGGAGGAGCGGCGGTAGTCTCAATTTGTATGACTGCGAGCCGAATTTCTCGATGATAGCGAAGGGGCCAATCATCTTTGCATCCAATTTCTTGCTAGGGCGACCCGTCTCAATATGCTTGGATCGCACGTAGACTAGGTCTCCAACCCTAAACACCTTCTCAAGGTGATTCTTGTCGTAATGGCGCTTCATTGCGTCTTTCGCCTTAACTAGCTTCTCATGGAGAAAGTGTCGCATCTCTTGGATATCCTGTATCCGACTCACTGCGTCCCGGTGATGCTCTTGCGGAAGCTCATTCACGCTAGCTCGGAGGTCTGGCTTGAACCCGAGTAGTGCCTGGAACGGGGAGACACCGGACGCACTGTGAGGAGTCTGGTTATATGCGAACTGAGCCATTGGGAGCCATCGCACCCAGTCGTCCTGTTCCCAATTGACGTAGGAGCGGAGGAAATACTCTAGCGTCTGATTTTGACGCTCAGTCTGACCGTCTGTTTGAGGGTGGTAGGCTGTAGAGAGACGTCTTCTCACTGCGAGGCAGTAGCAAAACGTGGACCAGAATTGACTGGTGAAAAGGCTGCCTCGATCGCTGACGAGGTTCTCGGGCATCCCCATAATAGGGATGATGCGCTCGTAGAGCAATTCCGCTAAATCGGGTGCGTCAATATCCTTAGTGCACGGCAGGTAAAAGGAATACTTAGTGAACATCTCCACTATCACTAGGATCGCATCATAGACCCTTCCTCTCCACGAAGAGGGTGGTAGGCCAGTAATAAAGTCCAAACTGACCCACTGCGCTGGCCGTTCAGGCACAGGCAAAGGTTGCAATAGCCCGTACGGCTTATGCCTGCGAACCAAATTCCTTTGGCAATTCTCGCAGTCTTCGACGTATTCCTTGACATATTGGGTGAGTCCAGGCCAATAGAATCGTCTACGCACCGCATCTAGGGTGCGCTTCACCCGGTAATGTCCTCCCTGAGGATCATCGTGGTGCGTTCGCAGTATCTCCTCTTTCAGCTCAGTCGCTGAAGGGACGTATACGCGATCATCAAACCTAAGTAGACCATCTGATGTCTTACTCCAGGGCGTACCATTCAGCCTCGCACCATTATTCCCCTCTATTAGTTGGCGAGAGATATCTAGCGCTTTAGGATCCCTTCCCTGCGCATACTTGACAATCTCCACCATAGAAGTTGGTAATGTGTGCGAGTATGCTGTCTCACCATCCATTGCTACCCGCGCAAGGAGGCGTGGCACCAGGGGGTCTAGAATCCCTGTATCGCCATCGGCATGGTACTCATCTGCTATATCTTTGATATCTTCGCAGGCACTATCGGCACTCCCACCGATTACAGGACTTGGCCAATCACCATTTAAGCCTGCGAGGCCCCGGCACGCAATAGTACCGGTCCCCAGCGTAGGGGAGAGAGTTCGCGGTCCTTCGGAACTGTCTCGCCATCCCTGCGCTCTCACTATGGGTTCCTCGGAATCCCATATATTCTCAGCCACCGGTCCGGTAGCACTGGACTTCGTTGGGATACCACCTAACCCCGGCGCTGGCGCGACACTCACATCGCTTTGGTCTAAATTAGACCTTTCGCAGGATCCTCCTGCTTTCTCAAGGGAGAGAGGCTGCCGAACAGCATTTCCCGTCCGATCTATTATAGATCGCTTGCAGGACCATCCTGCGAGGGCCTCTTGCCCTGGAGTACGTGCAACTATGCTGCCTGACTCCATCTGATCTACACTAGATCGCTTGCAGGACCATCCTGCGAGGGCCTCTTGCCCTTGAGTACGTACAGCCTCTGCTAACTGGCCGCTGTTTGACTCTGTTATACCCATTGTGATTCGCAGCTTATCTTGAAGTGTGGGTAAAAGCGAATTCTTCCTGAATTCCCCGTCCTTGGGTGCGTAATCGGGTCTCCTGCTAGGCGCATCGGCGGGGTTCTTCACACCCGGGCGATGCTCGATTACAAAATCGAACGCAGCTAACTTTTCAGCCCACCTAGCCTGACGCCTACTAAGGTCCTTGGTCGACATGAAGTAGCGCAGGTTAGCGTGGTCGGAAAGCACCACCACTGGGTAGATGCTCCCTTCGAGGTAATGTCTCCAATGCTTAAAGGATTCGACAATCGCAAGCAATTCTGCATCATGCGTCTCATAGCGGGTCTCCGCATCAATCATTTTCCTTGACCAAAAAGCAATTGGGTGCCAGCGACCCTCCTGGTCTTGCTGGCTAGCGATCCCTGCGACTGCGTAACCTGAGGCATCAGGTTCAACGCGAATTGGCTTCGCAGGATCGAAATGGGCTAGCACCGGTGGTTCCGTGAAGCGGCGTTTGAGCTCTTCGAAAGCCTTCCGTGCTTCCGGGGTAAGAGTGAAAGTAGCCTTATTGCGATTCGCACGCTTCTTAGTGCTACCCTGGCCTTTCGTGGTGGCCGTCAAGGGTGCTGTAATACGGGAAAACCCTTCGATGAATCGGCGGTAAAATCCCGCGAATCCGAGAAATTGGAGTACATCGTGGACGCATTGGGGTAATGGCCACTGTAGGATCGTCTCAATGCGATCCTTCTCCATTGAAATGCCATTTGGGGATATCACAAATCCCAAAAAATGGACTTCTTGTACATGAAATCGGCACTTACTGCGCTTCGCGTACAGTCGATACGTGCGCAGCCTGTCCAGAACCTTCTTCACATGAAGGATATGCTCCTCCTCACTCTGGGAGTAAATCAAAATGTCGTCTAAATAGACAACGCAACAGATATCGAGCAGATCGCTCAATGCGCGGTTGATATATGACTGGAACGTCGCAGGCGCATTAGCCAGCCCAAATGGCATGACCGTGTATTCAAAGTGACCGTATCGGGTGCGAAACGCGGTTTTCCACTCATCCCCCTTGCGAATGCGAATCCTATGATAGGCGTCCTGGATGTCAAGCTGGGTGTAGATCACCGCACCCGATAACCGGTCCATGGTCTCACCAATTAATGGTAAGGGGTATCGATTCTTGATCGTGATCTCATTGAGACCCCGATAATCGACACAAAGGCGCAAGGAACCGTCTTTCTTAGGGACAAATATGATGGGTGCGCCCGCCGGACTCTGTGAGGGTCTGATCCAGCCCTTTTGGGTCGCATCATCGATATATTCCCTAAGGGTCTCCAATTCCTTTGCCGATAATGAATAAATTGGGCGGTAAGGTGGCTGCGAATCCGGCTGAAGATCGATTGGATGATCATGCGCAGAGTTCTCAGGCAACCTAGCCGCCTGGGACGCATCGAAGACGTCCTCATACTCCTGTAGGTTTCCGGGAAGGCATCCCCCGTACCGGCCGCCGTAGCGAGCAGCGCAGGGTGGCCGTCTCCTTTACCGAATGCCGTAGCAAGCAGCGGAGGAGACCCTGACTGCGCCGAAGGGTAGGGATACACCACCAGCATCGTGGCCCCTGCGAGGATTTCTCGATAGCAAGCCGCTGCAGTTATCTTGTCTCCCCTTCGGCCAGTTGGTGGCCGCCATTTCCACGTATCCTCGGCCCAGTTGATGTCCGGATTAGCTCGCACGAGCCAATCATGTCCGAGGATAATGTCGTATCCTGCGATCTCAACAGATTCGCAAGGGATGACGAGGGAGTTCAGGATCCCATCGCTATCCCTAACTTCGCAGTCGACCTCGCGGTTCCCGTAGGAAGTGATAGGGTGTCCGTCAAATGTGACAGACCCCTGCGAAGGTGTCACTTCCTCACCTAGAAGGTGCTCCTTCGCCCAGCGCTGGTTAATGAAGCTTTGCTCTGCTCCGCTATCGACTAGCGCCCATGCGTCCTTACTACCCTCCTGGGTAAGGATTGAGACTTCGCATGCGAAGGCTCGGTCGCTCTGCCTTCTAGGAACCCCTACTAGTGCTTTGGCAGCTCTAAACACTAGGGGAGTTAGTTTTTTGACAGTCGGGTCTTATCCTGCGTAGCTCGCGGGTCTGGTTGATCGCAGCTACTAGCATAATGACCCGGTTTCCCGCATCGATAGCAGGAAACAGCCCCCGATTGTGTAGGGGGTTGAGTGAATTTTCTCTTGGATGCGCTACGGCGAGGCTCCTGGTTCGAGTCGCCAACGCTCCGTTTTTTGTGATCTTTTTGGTGCGAATAGGTCTTCGGGTCACGTGTGATACGGGACCGAAGGGGTATACTCGCTTCTTGATCCGACCGCACTATATCAGACTGAGTGCGAAGCAGCTTCCGCCTTTCTGGAAGCTGGTTCTCGACCATGTGAAGGTGGCCGATATAAGCCTCGTAAGTGTCAGGCTCATTGGGGTATTTGACAGCTTCGGTGCGAATGACATCTAGGACCTTGGCCCAGAGATGCTCCTTACGATGCTCATCTTCATAAGGGTATTGTAGCTGCCGGTGAATAGTGTCTAGCTCGGTTGCGAACGCACGTACGGACTGATTGTGCCTCTGGGTCCGTCGCATGTACGCAAGGGTAGCTTCGCGGTATATGTTCTCGGGGTTGTTGACAAGCCGCAAGCAGAATTCGGTGAAATCCTGCCAGGTGGGTCGTTCCGAGAAGGACTGTAGGTGCGCTCGCCATTGGTTGTGGCGATCGTCTGACAGATAGGTGGCCGCAGCAGTCACCTTATTAGGTGCGAAGGCGTACCACTGGGGGTGTTGTTCGAAGTGACTCTCAAGTCGATTCACGAATGTGTAGTATTCTTGGGTATTCGACCCTGCGAATGGCTTGATCTTCGCATCCGCCCGAGGTGGCTGAAGGCGTAGGGCCTGAATAGTCCCTAGGGGCGTGTCGGTCACTTCGGTCGCTCGGGTGCGAGGGTTGGTCAACGCATCTAGGCGAGATTCGAGTTCACGTCGGGCCAATGCCTCTTCTGCCTGCGCAATCCGGTCTCTAAGCTCATCGAGGGAGGGCTCAGACGGGGGCGCAGGTGTAGGTCGAGGTTGGGTCGCAGTATCGGCAGTTTGTTGCTGCGAACGCGACCGGGTTTGGTGGGAGCTCGACATGATAGTGAAAAGGGGTTGATAGCTCTACCGGGCGTACTCGCTGGGTGGAGCAATTAGAATTGTTAGGACCCTGCGAGGTCCTAGTGTAGCAGTATGAGTACGGGAAGTAGAGACTATCGTCGAAGTGTATGTGCAGGTGTCACAAGAGACTAATTGCTGGTCCTTCATGCGAAGGCCAGCGAGTGCAATAAATACAGTGCGCTTAGCTAAGAGACTAGGCGAAATGCACGACCATCATGGTCCATGCATGCGCCTATCTATCTGCACACTGCGCAGCCCAAAGGCTCGCAGTATACTTTCAGGCACCCTCAGGCACCTGTCAGGTCGAGGTCCTGACAAAATGGTGGGCTAGACTAGGTTCCGAAGACTGTCGCAAGTAGGTACGACGCTTACAACGTGACACTTATCGGCGTGATATTCTAGATATATTATTACCTTATATTGGGCTATAGAAACCTCTAAGATCATCCTAAATCATAAGGATACTAGGACTAAAATGCCCGGAGGTAAGTTTTATACCCGCGTATAGCTTACCTATAGCTAAATTCCTAGATCCTACTTTATTACCTACGGAAGATATATAAAATGTGGAAAGTAGTTATCAATCTATAATAGGGTTTAGTTGTCGACTTAGATTCCGTGCTCTAGATTGAAGGATTGATGCCTAATATCTCACTAGCAGACCGAAGACGCGTTAGGGATCTTATAGATTCAAAACGGATATTTCCCCTTATTATAATACCTAAAGATAGGGAGAAGGTCAAGACTTATCTTCTCTAAACGCCTAGGAGAATAATATCTCTTAATACGCTTCTCTAAGATATATTGTTCCTCGAAGAACTAGCAAAAGCCCTCCACTGTCTCTGTCCTCCGAAATTTAAAGGAAGCTTCAAAAAGGCCATGTTAAGTCAATAGAATCTTATTGGAGCTGCCGGAATCCTTGAAATTCAGACTGCAGAACACAAATTTATAAAGATAAAACAAGCTAAGCACTCGTTCTCGATATCTATAATCCAGCTTTGGCTTTTCGCTTGCCGGCATTTCGACCACTAGCGAAGCCGCGTAAGAAAAAATCGACATCATTTCGAATGGCCTACTAAGAATCTAAGTTTAAGTAGACTTACTATATTGGCTTCGCGATTGGGCTTTAAATCTGAATAAATTAGCCTGCTTCAAAACAACAATTTGGGACAACTTATGGCACAAGGATTTTTTAAATCTCTTTGTAGGGAGGAGTTCTACGAATACAAGGAGTATAAAGTGCAATCAATGTCTAACAAACTTCAGAGCTTTCTGCAGAACCTTCCTAGGTATGTGGAGGAGGAGGATGCTACTGCCCAATTTACAACAAACAACCTAGAACTCGAGGCGAGCCACAGATTTAACAGCCCTACGCGAGATGAGTGTGATCGGCAGCGCAAATATATGTTTGCCAATCAATTGTTCGGTCGAGATCAGCCACAGTCACAATATGTAACGTCACTCGGTGTGACAAAAGACATTATAGGCTGTTTCTTCGGAAAAACTCTATTTCAACAACTCTGGGAGCAAAATTCTCTCCAAAGCTCCTATAGTCCTGAATCTATGGAGGTAGACACAGCGGGTTTTGCTGAGGAGCGCCCCGCAGTTCACCCACTAAACTCACTGCCAGTGGAAGTGCTCCAATCGTCTATGCACTCACCACCAGTGGAAGTGCACCAATCGTGGCATGGCTGTCATCGCATTTTCATATATCTTCACCGGCATCTACGGCTTGACTTGGGTATGTCATTTCCTTTCTTGATTACAAGTCCTTACTGACAGCTACAGGCTCCCACTGCGTGGATCTATGCAGCAGAGGTCTTCCCACTGAAGTACCGAGCTAAGGGCGTCGGTGTCTCAGCTGCAACCAACTGGATCTTCAACTTTGCCCTTGCATACTTCGTGGCACCAGCCTTCCACAACATCCAGTGGAA